AATACATTCATACACATAAAATAAAAATTTAAAAAAAAATTTGTGTGCTGTGTGAATGGTTATATGTGTGTATGTAGATGTGAGTATGTGTATGAGCACGTAGAGGCCAGAAGTCAATGTCCCAGAGGTCAATGCCAGGTGTCTTTCTCAATCTCTCTCCACCTTATTTTGAGAAAGGGTCTCTCATAGAATCTGCTGCTCACTATTTTGGCTAGACTAGCTGGGCAGCAGGCTTCTAGGATCTGCCTGTCTTTGCCTCCCCAGTGCTGGAATTATAAGCATGCATCACCACACCGGGCTTTTACATGGGTGCTGGGGATCCAAACTCTGGTTCACACGCTGGCACAGCAAGCACATTACTCACTGAGCCCTCTCCAGCCCAGTTGCTTACATTTTTCAACTTTCAAATTCTGCTGGCTTTTAGTAAAACAATTTCTTTTGTGCATAATTTTGTAAGGCTCTAAGTTGTACTTGTAACAGTTGAAAGAAAAAAAAATTTTTTTCCAAAAGAGAAACCTTAACCCACTTCTGTAAATGTACTGTAGGCAAGCAGAAACAAAAAGCAGTTTACTCACAGCCGATGGCTCTCAACAGCTCCAAAATTATAGAAGATTAATACAAACCTGCTTTTCTAATTCTATCTAGAAGCAAAACTTGACAGTGGAACTTGCTCACAGCTACAATTCTTAAGGAAAATGCTACTTCTCAACATAAATTGAAAGCTACTATTTATCAAAGTAGGTAAATGGAAACTTTCACAGAGAACCTTAAAAGCAAAAGCATTACCTTCTTATCAGGTTTTGGTGCATTTTGAATAGAACTTAGAGCCTGCCTTTTATACTCAAGTTTCTCACTTAGCTCTCGGAATTTGTTGACAGCAAAGCTGGCTTGTTCGGTGATCGCACTGGTACCTTCTACAGCTTCCTCACTAGCCTCACCTCCAGTACCCTAGGGGAAGAACAGTACACTTTAGTATCTTGTGATGACAGAAAATCAGTAATTATCTGTGGTATACATACTGTATCATTAGTGTACACTGTTCCAAAATACTAAATGCCAGGAAATGAAACAATATTGTAGAATATGTTTAAGAGTGCTTTTTTACCTTCCTAGCAAATGGAAGAATCAAAGTGTTTAGACTCAAAAGTAACAAGTATTCAGAATTACAGTGAAAACCTAAATGGGGGAGGGGAATTCCCACACCATTAGTTCCCAGATGGTACATCTGAGGGAGTCTCTGTGGAAGAAGGGAAGGCACCCAAAGTAGACCCTTCAACTTGAAGAGTCTGTATTTAACCTCTGAAGAAGAAAGAGATCTTGCTTCTTTCCAGGCTTTTAACAACAAAAAAAAACCTAGCTAGGTCCCTTTAAAATAAAATGTTCATCAGGGCATCATGGTGCATGCCTTTAATCCCAGCACTAGGGAGGGAGAGGCAGGTAGATTTCTGTGAGATTGAGGACAGCCTGGTCTACATAGTGAGTTCCAGGCTTGCTGGGGCTACAAGGAAACCCTATCTCAAAAAGACAAAAAATAAATAGAATATCAAAATCTATACTACAAATATTTCAGCATATACTTTGTTTAGTACTTGTCTTGAGAATGCATTATGTAAATCAACAGGTAGATTGCTTTACAAGTAAAATAGCATTTGTGCCGTAATTTGGAAAAATCTGGACAGATTACCTAATAGCACAGAGGATTAATTAGTTTCTAGAGTAATCTCAGCCTGCAGGGCACTAAAAGCGGGCCTGCTCAGGACCATCTTCCAGCATGCTTTCTCCTGAGCTTTCTTCCAGATTGTTTTCTTCTGTTTTTTATTAACTGTCACAAGCAGCAAATTAATTTTTGTTCACAACAGTGAGAAAAGTAACTAGCACAAAAAGTGGGAGTGAAATGTGACTCACCATTTCATCCTTGTTAGAAATCAGCTGTGAGGCATGGTTTTCTTCCTCTTTGATCATCAACTTTTCATACAGGTTGCTGACAATAAATGAAGGGTAATATCTATCCCTCAGCATCTCATATACATCTCCCTGGATTCTGTAGAATACCTCAACACCTTTATTCCCCACAAGACATTGTTGGATTTCTTTGTAAAGTGATCTTTCCACAGATATTTCTTTGCTTTCCACAAAGAAATTCTGATAAATTTCACCAACTAACTGTGGAATTTCATTCTGAAAAGACAGGAGAATGAACAAAGAGAAAAGTAAGGAATGTTGGTTCTGAGAGAAGTTATTTTCCACTGAATTTTCTACATGTTAAAGCTGAAGTACAGTATCTAGTACGTAGGCTGGACTGGTACGACTGAAGGGCTTAGCCTTCTGCATCCACATTCAGGGTCCATGGGAAAACATCAGACCTTGAAAAAAATAAAACACCAGCTCCTTAAAATAAATGCTATATGTAGAGCAACTGATACTGGCATGTTTTAATGCTAGAGGAAAAGAAGGTGGGAAGAGTCTTCTTTGTGCAATGGGTTCCTTTCCACCGCCTCAATTTTACAGTTTATGAAGAATTACTGACTTTTATCTAATATAATGAGATGTGTTCACCTTACTAGCAGTAGTAAAATTTTCTCATCCCAAAATTAGCCAATAAAACAATGTGTATAACATTTTTTAAAGGCAGATACTCCCCAAAACGATCACTTCAAAATAATAACCATCACTCAGCTACACTAGACAGCTTAGTCTTCAACAGTGCACTTGGATCACTGCTGGTGTACTTAAGAAATGCAGGTATTTCTCTGATTAACATGATTTTCACATTTGTTCTAGAGGTGCTTCATTACTCTAGGAATACTATACAAACTATCAACAGCAGTAAAAACAAAAACACCCAACTTAATGAGTAAGACTTATTTTATCAATGTTGCCAGGTCAAACTGCACTTATTTTAAGAAAGCTTATGCTTTCCCTTCACTAAAAAGTTTTCAAATTATATATATCCAGTAGTTTGGGAAAACTCTAGATTTTTTTTTTTTTTTTTTTTTTTTGCACGAGACAGGGTCTCCCTATAGCCCCAGCTAGCTTGGAACTCACTATGTAGACCAGGCTGGCCTCGATTTCACAGAGATCTGCCTGCATGTATGCAAGTGCACCCATG